CGATATAATTAAATAAAATTTAAACATAATTAATACAATTCATAATTTTCAAATATGATAACTATCAATATATGATAATTAAACCGAAATCCGTTTTCCTAAGAACACGAGGTTAGTAAAAACAAATTAGTTTGTTTAAACGTTGTTAAATTAACCCCGAAAATGTACAATTTCTGATCTAAAATATGAAAAATAATTTTTGCAATCTCATCGTGACGTACGATGATGTCACTGTCACGTGAGCTACCAGATAAAAGGTCACATTTTCGATCCTTTCTGTTCAGTTTTGATTCCGGTCTGGTAGCAGCAACATTGGAGCTTCGTTTTGGGTTGAAAGTAGCACGTGTTCGCGAATTTCTAATTTATTGTTAATAAATATTAGCGAAAATGTTTTGTGTTAAATGCTGTGAACACGAAGGAAAGTGGATATTTTTCCAAAAATGCCCGATTTTTTTTTTAATATGTTGTTAATAACATGCATTCAGGACTGATAAAGTACGCCGTTAGAATATACAAAGTACTGCGTTCATAATTCACAAAATACCGTATTCATCATTTTTAAAGTACGGCGTCCAAATTTACAAAATACGGTGTCCTTCACCCATGCTATCAAACCTTAGTCCTCTCTTTTAATGGCAAGACGCACTCCAGACCTCCTCGTATTGTTTGGTTCTTGCTGGGCAACAGCAACGAGCGAGCAAATTTGTATATTGTAACTTTTGTAATTGAAGCATTTTGTACTATATTGTATGTGTTACTAACTTAACTTGGGTCTTGCCAATTTAGCTCCAGTGGTGCAAATGCTTTGTTTTCATGGTGCATTTGCTTGGGTTTTAATTTTGCAACAGTGCATTCTTTGGTTCCGGGACTGAATTCTCCATGTCGTCAGACGCTTTGGCCTGGGGGGGTTCTGTTGGCCCTTAGACGCTGGGTCGCATCTCCTATAAGGATGAGGTCAGTCGGCCTTGGATTTATGCGGCTGCATTCTCCCTTGGGCGTGTGAGCGCTGCGACCAATAGATTTCGTTCCGAGTTCCATGGGTGTGCTTGCTTGGGTTTTCATTTTGCAACATTCTCAATTTTTGGTGCAATTTCTTCCGGTGGTGTATTGGCTACTAACTTTGCATTTGTATTGTATCTGAATTGTATCTGTATCTGTAGTGTATTCTGTATTGTAGTTAGATTGTAGGTACCTGTATTGTATTTCAATTGTATTGTACTGTATAATGTTCTATCCCTCATTAACAAATCCTAGCCCTCTCCTTTCCTAGCGAGATCTGCTCCAGACCTTCCCGTGGTTCTTTCTGAGCATCAACTATCGAGGACAGAAAATTCAAATTCAAAGCCAGCAAAGTTTCACAAAAATCTTGAAAATCGCTCGTTGGTGGCCAACGTGGAGCAAAAGAGACTTTTGTAACTCTACTAACTTTGTTAACTTTGTATTATTAAGGAAACAAAAATATATTACATTTAATTTATTATTTATAAGGACAAATAGTCGTTTGCCACACCGATGCTCATTTTTAGATTAAATGTCCACAAAACGCGTAGATGTTCAATTTGTGTCCGGGGAAATACAATGTTTGCAAGTAGGTACTTCGTACTTCGAATATGAGTATCTACTCAGTTTTATTCATACCACCCAATGTCTCGCTTCAATGTTTGACTATTATGTTGATTATGAGCGCAACGCTGATCAACTTCCGTATCCGAATTACCAATGAAATAAATCATTGCGATTTGCACCTGAGGTAGTTCGTCGCACATTTGATTGACTTCGTGGACGTATGTCAGCTTGTCGTCTTCTCGGCATAAAACGACACAAAATTATTTTCACCGTCTGTAAATTTTGTCTTGAGAATTTTAAAATATTGAAAATTTCAAATTAAATCCTCGAATAACGGTAAAGTTTGAGGTTTTGTCGAAACCAACAAAGTGAATATACGTAAATGGAATGGCAGATCAAAATTAATAAGAAACTTTCGCAATGCGTAACTAAATTCACTTTAACGAACACTTTTTCTTAAAATAAACGACGTTTTTTGTTACGAAAAAACAAACAAGGACTGGAAATGCAATAATACTTTTCACAATCGCACGGAAGAAATAGTTTTGTATGACACGTCAGTCAGGCGACAGGTCCGTCGGGAAAGCCAACTATTCAAATTCATTCGAAGTGGCGATTCCCATGCAAAATTTTTAAAATTTTTTTATCTTTTAGCCGGCTTATTTTTTATAAATATTCTTACATATAAACCTTCTCCTGACGATAAGGAACACGTAAAAAAAGAATCGTCCAATTCGGTGCAGCCGTTCTGAAGTTATGGGCGTACATACATTTCGGCGATTCATTTTTATTAATATAGACTAGCTGACCCCGTGAACTTCGTTTCACCTACAATTTAATTTTGAATCTGCAAAACCGAATGCTTTTAAATCTTGCAAATGTTTTAAACATATGATAAGCATAATAAATTTTTATTCAAAATATATTTACTTATCCCCTCCAAAACATTGATGACGTCAGCCCAAAATTTTGCCAAATGAATCCTATCTAAAATGTCCAAAATAGGATGAGACTATACTTGTGATTTATCGTTCCATCCATATTTTTTAGTTTTGCTTATAGGGGGTGTCTCAAAAAAATTAATCACTGAGTCAATTTATTTTATTGATTGAATGAAGAATTGCCAGACTGAATTTTGAAATATTGCAACGTTTGGAAGTTACTGTTTGACATGGTACGTTTTTAATCAAAATATATCTATTTATCAAGCTCAAAAACTTGATGGCGTCTTCTCAAGATTTTGCCGAATAAATCCTATCTAAAATGTGCAAAATATCATCAGTATATTTTCGTAATTTATCATTGCATTCATATTTTTTGGATTTGCTTTTACAGTGACTCAAAAAAATATATAGATCAGTCAATTTATTTTAGTGAATAACTCAAGAGTTGCAGAAATGAATAAGGTACTTTGAGCTCTTGCAGACGTTTTAAAGTTATTGTAAGCATGATAAATTGTTAAGAATATTTATTTATTCCCCCCAAAAAATTGATGGAATGGCTCACTCGATTTTGGGAGATAATTTTGGGAATACAATACAGCTATTTTTAGTATTACACTGCACCAATCCAAGGTGGTATACGTGTTAATCGTAAATGTTGATTAGGTGAAAATTGTGTGAAGAAAAGACTCAACTCGAAAATGCTGAATATGCTTCATTATACTTTTGGTGCGAAGAAAGTTTTGTCGAAACAACGTTCGATCAATTTTTTGACAATGGTTGATATAAATAAAACTCAATAGATGGTCATACTCGAAATATGAAGTATCTACTCAAATATCATATCAAAATATTTCTAGTTTTTCTAGATGATGCTAATCCTTCAGTAGGTAACAGTTGATGCTCAAGTATTATCTCGATACAACAAAAAAGGAAAACAGTGACAGTGTTCAACCATCAAGGCAAAAATCGAGTCACCAAAATATAAGTTAGTATGGGGTAGACACCTTGAGATGGGAATCTCTATGGCCAGTGTCAGAAAAAACGCACTGCACAATTTATGCATAAATAAAAGTTAATTACCTGAAAAGTTTTCGATATTCCCGTTTTTCAAACTGAATGCACCTTTTGACGACGTTCCACGTTCATGAAAGTCGACATGTTTAGTTAAAATTCACTCTTACAACGATCCTACTGGTTTTCTAAGCTGCTTTACAGACAGCTCAGTTATTTGCCACGGCGATGCTCATTTTGAGATTAAATGCTCACAAAACGCGTAGATGTTCAATGTCCGGGGAGATACAATGTTTCCAAGTTGGTACTCAGTACATAGAGTAGATGCTCAGGTATAGGTATAAGAGTAATAATGAAGTACGTACTTATTCGTACTTCGAATATGAGTATCTACTCAGTTTTATTCATACCACCCAATGTCTCGCTTCAATGTTTGATTATGTTGATTATGAGCACAACGCTGATCAACTTTCACATCCGAATTACCCATGAAATAAATCATTGCGGTTTGCACCTGAGGAAGTTCGCCGCACATTTGATTGACTTCGTGGACCTATGTCAGCTTGTCGTCTTCTCGGCATTGTAATGAACTTCATAAAACGACACAGAATTATTTTCACAGTCAATCAAATCTGTAAATTTTGTCTTGAGAATTTTAAAATATTGAAAATTTCAAATTAAATCCTCGAATAACGGTAAAGTTTGAGGTTTTGTCGAAACCAACAAAGTGAATATACGTAAATAGAACGGCAGATCAAAATTAATAAGAAACTTTTGCAATGCGTAACTAAATTCACTTTAACGAACACTTTTCTTAAAATAAACGACGTTTTTTATTACGAAAAAACAAAGAACGATTTGAAATGCAATATACTTTTCACAATCGCACGGAAAAATAGTTTTGTATGACACGTCAGTTAGGCGACAGGTCCGTCAGGAACGCCAACTATTCAAATTCATTCGAAGTGGCGATTCCCATGCAAAATTTTTAACATTTTTTTATCTTTTAGCCGTCTTATTTTTTATAAATTTTCTTACATATAAACCTTGTCCTGACAACAAGGAACACGTAAAAAAAAAGAACCGTCCAATTCGGCGCAGCCGTTCTGAAGTTATGAGCGTACATACATTTCGGCGATTCATTTTCATTAATATAGATTTCTGGTTGTCTCCGCGAGTATGATGACCTATTGGTTGGCGACGATTCATTTCATCCCTTTTTCAATTGACGCTATATTTATAGTAAATTATACTATAGGGTTAGGGGTAGGGACTTTTTAAATGATCATTAGTCAAGCATTCTTGATATAATGAAACTTTTGTTTTTTGTGAAAAATTCTTCACCTGCTCAACATTATTTTACCAAACGCTAAAAGTATTAAAGCATATTTAGAAGATATATTTGGGAAAGTAGCTTAAAAACGTAAACATTTACAAAATTTAGTAAATCATTATCCAATTCTACTGAAGAAACTTTCCTTATTTTCCATATCCGTGACCTCCAAAACCAGTTCCACCTCCTACCCCTATACCTCCAAAAGTTAACCCTCCTCCTAAAGCATTTCCATAACCTACACCTCCTACAGAAATTGGAGCAGCAGCAATTCCTGCGGCCACTGGCTGACGTACATCGAATCTTGAAGTTGCTGCACTTGAAATTCTCACTGGAGCGGCAGCTAGCACAGGAGCAGTAGCTACGACTGGGGCAGCTGCAAGCACGGGAGCGATGTGGGCCGTGGTGTAGGTTATGAGTCCTGGACTGATGATGTCGTGTCTGGACTGTTGACTAACAGCAGTTGGAACTACTACGGGTGGAGCAGCCACGGCGACAGCAGGAGCAGCAACAGCAACCGGAGCAGAAACTCCGTGAATAAGTCCGGGTTTAGCTGTTGCGTATGCGACTAAACAAGACAGTACTACGATTTTGAACATTTTTGATAAGCTGTGATCTTTTCAGTCTACACTTGCTGAATGTATGTACCGATACAATTCGGATAGTCTTATATACCTGTCAGTGGCTAACTGAACTGTGAAATGTGTAGTACTGGATATGTAAGACGATACAGGAAGCGAGACTCTAGTTTCAGAACTTATTAAAATAGGTCAATTATTGCGTTTCATACCTTTCACAAACATATTGCTGTGAAAAACGTGAACACAGATGAATGCCAATAAAGCGTGTTATTAAATGTATAACATTTTTATAAAGTTGGAGGACTTTGTTTTAAAGTGTTATATATTGTAACATTCTACACACACACACACACACACACACACACACACAACATATTGCTTCTCCCTTTAATATCTTTTTGTTTTATGAAGGTTTTAACACAGAACCGTTATCATTGATGTTGACCCTTTTGCAAATACAAGTAACATGTTTCTCAACTGATTTTAACATGTAGTCCTAAATAAGGAATTTAACTAAAATCTGTTCTGAAGTTATTTAAACAAAATTTCATTCCTATCTAAAGCTCAATAATTCAACTAAATAGTCTGGTGGATAGTTTTTTGAGATACCTGCGATATAAAATTTGATTTTGCAGATGTATCTTTTATTAAAAATAAAATTTTGATAAAATCAATATAATACGTAGATTGCTCCATTTATACATTTCTTTGAGACATCCATCATAGTGGATTACGAGACTACGGATGTTGAAACGTGTTATTGCTCATACTGTATTTCAAGTGAAATTTACTTTGCAAAATTTTGAAAGGCGAACTCTTTACGAAGTTGTATATTGTAAAACATTGGGCACAAAAATAAGAAAGATAAGAAATTTTTGGTTATATATTTAGCTAGGGGAAGCGGAGAAATAGCGACTATCAATGCATTGGTGACTGGCTATTGACTTATCAACTTATCATCTTATCAAATATAAATATGTAGTTTTTCATGTTGGGCCATCTAGAATAGAAGTTTCATTATTCTAGTACTACTTGAAAGGCACAGGTGCAACTATGTTTTCACGTAACTGTTACAACGAGTGTAGTATACTTAAATAAAAATTGGTGAAATGTTATTTCGACAGAAATTTTCTCGTCCCTGAAGTACAATAAAAAATCAGCTTTTTCGAAAAATGATAAAATTTGATTATGCGAATTTTATTTTTTTATGAGAACCCTTATAAGTTAAAACAAAGATATAATGATAAAGATCTAATGTTAAAATAAATGTAAATAAGCGTGCTGCGCGTATGTTTCAAATGAGTTTTCCCTTAAGAAAATTTTGTAATGACGTCATTAACATTTTTGTAAGAACACGTATGTCTATTATTTTGGATAAATGCAGTAATACTAATGATAACAATATTCTATTCCCAAATTTTCGGGAAAATGAAAACAGGTGTTCCTGATTTTATCAATAAAATAATCTGACTCATTCATTAATTTAAAAAAAAAACTCAAAAACTCATTACCAATTACGACAATTTAAGAGGATCTTTATTTGAAATCAAACGCTTACATTTTATTTTTTACATTGTGCCCATCATCGGAATTAATCAAAAATAATTATTTTTAAAACGCAGAAAAAGCAGTCCGTTGTATTATTTACAGGGATATCCCAAATAACTCTTTGTAAGAGAACATTTCAAAAAATATAAACTATTCTATTGTTTTATGCACATACAGAGTTATTCACGAGAAGCTCTACGCCTAAAAATTTCAAGACGCAACTAGAAATACAATTTCATAACCATCTTTCAATTTTCAAAAAGATAAAACAGTTGTCTGCTTTTTATAACAACACTGACGTAATGTGAAATACTATATCATACTGACATTTTGTTAGAACTGATGGAGAGTGTATGCAAACGATGAAAAGACTGATAGGGATCTTGATATAATATGCTGAGAGCTTCAATCAAAGACTGCTATGTAATTGTATTATTGTTTGCGTTTTGAATTTTTTAGACGACATCTGGTGAATAACTCTGTATATTTTAGATTTTCTGATATTCATTTATAAATGAAAAGAAAACTACATAGACAAATAATAAAGATTTATTAGAAATCATTTATTATAATAATATTATAATAAGTTAATCTAATCAATGCATATCATTACTTGGTCTTAGTACCCGTAATGATAGAAGTCTTGCCTGAATGCCGGTCATTTCCGGGTCAGTGGTGGGTCTTAATAATATTATTATAGTAGGTAGTACATTACTTTACAAGGAAGATATCTAATTACAGAGCAATGAAATTAGAATGTAAAACATCAAAGTCAAGGAAAACGAACAATACATACAAAAAAACACAAATAACTATACTCAGCAGGCGTTCTAAGGTATCTAAACCTGAGTTTTATATCCCTAGTATTTACTGCGTTGGCACGAAAATAAAATATACTGCTTGAATGGTGAGGATATTTCTTCTCTATGTTTTTTTGCCATCGGAGTGTCATTAAAAAGGAGGGTTTATTAACCGTCGTTGACATAAAGCTACAAAAATCCCTATTGTCTGCGGATGGAGTAGAATTTCTCTAAAGAAGTAAGGGCTCTTGGAACTCAACATCCTCATATTTTGCGAATTCATGTATACAGAAACATGGAAGAGATAGCGATCTAAAACATCATCCTCCATGTTCCTGAACTAAGGTCAAACCATAAGGATGCAGGTGCAAATCTTGTTTTAATATCCCTTAACAATAGGAATAGCAAAGATCAGTTTGTTGTGAAAGAACACGTATAGTGTGAGTTTTTTTGGGTGTCCACTAGCTTTTTTTCTTTACACAGTTCCAGTTTCACGGAATAAACTTACACAGTGTGTACAGTACACAGTTAAATTGGTTATATTGCGAGAATTTCTTCTTGAAAATCAATTATTTTTCAACTGAATAATGCATTGACCATCCATATTGTTACGAAATAAACCCATGGGCCGCCCCGGTACGACGCCTATGGGTTTTTTAGTATGTGCGGCGATGATGGGTGTCTCATTGTCGGTGATGGCGGCCGGACGGCGTTCGCTAAAGAAAAGCCTGGGAGCGGAAGTTGCGATGGGTGCTCCAGAGTAAACCTAGAAGCGGTGACGGCGACTGTTCGAGAAGGACCGCGTGGCTCTTTAAATGGGAACCACCGTCGGGAGCGGTCAGTGAAGTCCAGACAATGGGAGAAGTAGAGTTTAGTTAAATCCATTCCAGTCGGAATTATTCTGTATATAATCGTTGTGTAATTAATCGTGTAAATTCGAGTTAGTGATTGTAATTATCGTATTAACTGAATAATTTTTAATCAAAATTGCTACACATTTATTTTTGAAGTTTACAAAACGAAAAATTGGGCGGTACTTACGTGTATGGTGTTTTCAACAACACTTTTTATTTCAAAGCCAAGCTAGATTAGAAATTTAAAGAATCGCAGATATAAAAAAATAGCAGTAATTAAATCTTGATTTGTTTTGGCAGTTCAAGTAAAACACCATTTGACATGTGCTCAATCTTTAGGAGGTTTACCTTAAGTTAATTTGGGCTGTCTGAAAATAGTGCAATTTTATAAAAGAATTGAAGGTTTTTCCCGATTTTTATTTTTTTTTAATGTACTGAATTCTTGATGTTCTATAACGCTGTAATTATTATTATAGGAATGTTAGGAAAAATAACAGCTGTACCTCTTAACTTCTTGCAAATGGTCATTTTTGCTGCAGTTGTTGAGGTATTTTTGAGATGAGACTTGATGGTTTTAAGGTATATTGATAACTAATAGATACTGTTTTATGTGGGAATTAATTTATTTGCATATTCGTTAGCAAAATAAATATGTACAAAAGGTGATCGAGGAAGGGGCAATAAATTATCACTTCAATAAATATCTAAACAAACTACTTTTTAGTAGTGGGCGAGACCGCCATAACCGAAAGCGGGAGCGGCAGCGTAGGACAAAGCTGGGGCAGCAATAGTTTTGACTACGGGAGCAGCAGCGTAGGAGAGAACTGGGGCAGCTTTAACGACGGGGGCAGCAGCGACTACTGGGACGGCGGCTCTAGAGATCTGCAACCAATCAATAACATTGAGACAATAGTTTAAACTTTCTCTCATAGATGGAAGTGTATAAATTAAAAATAGATTGAATCCGGTTATCAATTAAAAATTTCAGAAAAACAATGAAGACTTTTTTACTAGAAAGTAAAATATTTATATGAACGTACTTTGTAGGTGTTTTGGTAAGAGGTAGCAAGGGGTACGGCGGTCTTGACGGCAACGGGGGCGGCAGCAACATGGGCGATAGGAGCAGCGGCAACATGAGCGATGGGAGCGGCAACATGAGCGATGGGGGCGGCAACATGAGCGATGGGAGCGGCGGCTACCACAGGAGAAGAGTAAGCCAAACCGATGCCCCCGGCTTTAACGGCAGCGAAAAGGGAAAGAGCGACTACCTGCAAACAAATTGAGGAAAACGATTTTTTATCGCGACTGTGTCACTTTTTCCACTTTAAAGTCACTTACAAGTTTGAACATTTTGGTATATTGTTTGTGTTCGTTTGTTGAATCGAATGATGTTTGGGGCTGCTGGCACCGCTTTTATAGTGAATCTTAGTGGTCTAGACCCTAACTCGCAGAATGTTCTGGGTCAGGGTTATGATGTAACAAGGACCCGTTTCACTTTCATTTGATTGTTGCTACTTGAACGATGATTTATTGAACTGTTTTTGCGAATTAGGTGCTATCTAGTTACCGTTTCCATTAGTTTTATGTTAAATATTTTTTTAACTAATTTACTATATTATTTATTGTTGATGAAATAACTTTTTAGCTCTTCATCAGTAAATAAAAAAAATATAAATTTTGTTGAAGATAAAATTTAATGTTTAGCTATGTGAATCTTTGAAACTATATAATATAATTACATAAAAAGTTACGTTTTTAAAATAATAATCTTTGCATAACTTTGCATTAGGTTAAATGAAGGGCCCTATAATTTTTATGTAGTAAACTGAATGATTAAACAAAATGCTCAGTGACAGTAATAATATGTACACAACCGTTGTAAATACTTTTTTCTTTATTTTCCACATTCATTAATATCTTTTGTCTAAGTTGTGTTCTTAGATGTTGTTTATGGTACAACGTAATTATGTTAAGTCACAAATTCATAATTACAAAATTAAGTTAAATTATGAGGTTAATATGTTAACACTGTGCTTTCATTTTTTAATTAACTGTCTCAAAAAAAATGTAATGTAGCAAATAATTTACGTAAGAGTAGCATACACCTACATATAAATTTATGACAAAATATATTTAGCTTCTTAGTGATTGATTCTTACACATTGTTTTTTGAATAAGTATAAATAATTTTAAGACATTTGTGAATTTTCCAAACAATCCTTGGATCTTAGCTGTTCAAAACAGATTTAATTTTGAAAATAAAACTGAATATAAATTTAATAATTATTTAAATGTACGAAGATCTGCTATTGAAATCTTGACTTTAATTTTAGGCGGTCTATAATGTAGCATAATTGGTTATTTTAAAATTGATTTATAAGAAACTGTAAATATTTGACCGCATACTTAATACGTAAACTACAATTACCATAATTAGGTGCGTTACATTAATTAATTTCATTAACAGACACAGTAATCATATTTAGAAAGTTAAATGAATTTTCCGACTTCATATTTCAATGTGAAGAGATCATGGTCAAGATTAACTAAAGCAATATTAAATAATTCGTTGTTCGTAAAGAATCATTTAAATTACATTTTTTACCTAATAGTTTTGCCGCAAGGTAAACATTGTTAGATGCATATCTTCAATTGTTCTTTGAATAAATTGCAGTAATTTTTGTTGCGTTAAATTGCGAGAATTTCTCACTTGCTTATCGTGAGCGTGATTATTTTATGAATGGTGTAACGTGTTGTATAAAGAAGCAAAAAATTATTAACACTTTTGAATAAGATATGTCGATCTAGTTATATTAAGAAATCTAAAACCTTTTTACCCACTCTGCAAACCTTAACTTTAACACAGTAATAAAACGTATTTATAATATTTTGGAAAGCTGAAAATAATTAAGCCCGACTTTCGTCTGAGCCAATATTGATTAAAGATGCCAAAAAAATGTAGGCTTTGTTGAGAATTCATGTTCATCGCTTAAATTACGGAACAAAAAAGCATTACATATCTCTTTTTTATATTCTTATTTATTTTATTAGTCATTTACTTGTTTATGAGTACTTAAACATATACGCTGACCAAACTTTGTCTAACTATCCCCATCAACAATAGGATGACGTTACCTCAGTATTATACATAGTAAATGGGTTTTAAATTCTACGAAATAACATAGTAAAATAATAACACATGTAGTTTATGAATTCGTGTTGACTTTTTATCCGAGATTTCCAGATTTTTGGAAAATAAAATCAAAATTGTGTAACAATATTTTGCATTTTATTTTGAATCTGTAAAACCGAATGCTTTCAAGTCTTGCTGACATTATCCTAACCATGACAAATTTTTAATCAAAATATATTTGCTCATTTCTCAAAAAAAACTGAGTACGTAATCTTATAATTTCGCCGACTAAATCTTATCGAAAATTGACAAAATATGATAAGTCTATATTTGTGATTTATCATTGCATTCATATTTTTCAGCATTGTTTATACAGGGTGACTAAAAAAAAATAATGAATGAGTCAATTTATTTTATAGATTAAATCGGGAACTGCAAAACCGAATGCCTTGAAATTTCATAGATGTTTTAAAGTTATCGTAAACATGATAAATTTTTAATCAGAATATATCTATTCGTCCCCACAAAAAATTGATGACGTATTCTCAAAATTTTGCCGAATAAATCCTATCGAGAAAAAAATGATGAGTATGTACTTGTGATTTACCATTGCGTTCATATTTTTTAGAATTGTTTATACAGGTGATCCAAAAAGATAAATGAATTAGTCAAATTATTTGTTTGATTAAATCAGGAACGGCTCTCTCCAATTTCCCGAAAATTTGGGCATACGAGTACAGTACTGTTATTATTAGTACTATACGGCACCTATCCAAATTGAGATACGCGTTCTTCAAATGTTGATCACGTCATCATAAAATTTTGTGAAGAAAAAACTCATTTGAAACATGCGCGTAGCACGCTTCTTTACATTTATTTTAACATTTACAGAAGTATCTTTTTTTTCCTTCTCTTGAAAAAAATAATATTTTTTCATCGTACTTCAGCGAGGGAATTTCTGTGAAAGTAACCTACGACCATTTTTTTAATGAAATAGTGTTCGTGTGTGATTGGTTGCATACTTCTAATACATCGATATGTGTTTTTCTTTAATAATATGAAGAATACCATATCATGACTATGAAATTCTTGTATTGTCATCGGTTCTTCATACATGTCCAAAATTTTAAATCATCCGGACATCTGGAATTGAGTGAAAATGTAATTGAAAAATTCCGTTACAAACATACAGACAAGTGAAGCTAATATAAAATGTATAATAATAGTTATTTATTTTACAAGAAGGTAAAAAGAAAATTTGCCCACGAATGAAAAGTTTGCCTAACGAGGGAGCGAGCGAACGAGTTGGGTAAGTTTCATAATTGGTAAATTTTCGTTTACCTTTGAGTGGAAGACAAAATTTTATTTTCTACGTTTATCGTTGTTTTTTCAATATTTAAAAATAATAAAATTCCCCAGCCTTTTAATGAAGTATTTGGTTGTGGATTTTTCATAGCAACCATTGTTTATTATTTTACACGTCAATTTTTTTTATGAAAGCGCGTCTTCATTTACAATGGATAATGTAACTGTACCACAAGAAGTAGAACTGGAAGCTTCAAAAGCAACATCCAATTTACTTTCCACCAAGTCGGAAAGCAAATGTAAAAAAAGTGAATATTAACATTTCTACTTTCACTTCGGTTTCCATGGTTATAAAAAATGACTGAACTATGGCTAAATATGACATAACAGTGGGTAAAATTACATTTTACCATCACAAAAATTGTTTTTTTTTTCTTCGCGTTCTATTAGTCTTATAAGAAGTAGGCACTGATTTACTTTATATATTTCAGTAGGTACTCATGAAAATCAGTGGATAAAATCTTGATAAAAACCCATTCTGGCAGCTGGAAAAAGCAACCTCAAATTTCTACGGATTTTTTGCGCCTCTGGCGGAGGTTGGGTGATGGAATTTTTTTTGGCACGTAGACGTATTCATCAGATCAATTTACTCTTAACTGTATTTAAATTTTAACACTGTTGACATAACACGAATATAAAAAAAATGCAGTTGTTTATTATTCAGTTAACAATTTGGAAGAGTGGAAATGTTCTGGCACAACAAATTTTCACCTTCAACTACCAGACCTGTTAGTTTATAAAAACTGTGAAGGTTTTTTTTGTCTTCTTCCTTTGAAAAATAGGAGTTTTCCGGCCGGTATCAGTTGCCAGAATAGGTATTCCTTATTCGGTAGGTGTAAAACACCTCATCTACCAATTTTCATTAGTCACTAGTTCTTAGACTGTATGTGCACTGTTCAACTACAGGATGATTCTGGTTAATTGTACTTATAGTACTACTCTCTCTTACAGCCTTCTACCTTCGGCCTGCGCTAAGTTCCTGTAAAATTATTCCTAAATTTCGACATTTGAAACGCAAATAACTAATGTGTAGATACTACAAAAAATGCAGACCTTTAGCCTGTAAATAGCATCTATAAACCAATTTTTCAAAAAAAGACTACTTTATTTTTGCGTAATTTTATTCAGAAAAACCAGTAATAAATAATTTTCAACACTTAAAGGTATCGTTGCTCATCTTACAAACCATTCAAAATAATTTAAATTCCTTTAAGGCCATATCCACCAAGACCACTAACACCAATTCCTCCAACACCAATTCCTCCAAGGCCAACACCGACTCCCCCAAGGCCAACACCAACAGCTACAGGGGCGGCAGCTACAGCAACAGGAGCATGGGCCACAGCAACAGGGGCTTGGGCAACAACAGCAGTTGGATGTAGGCTGATTTGATTGTTGTTTTGATACGAAGTAGCCAAGGCTGTTTTCACAGCAACAGGAGCAGCAACAGCGACCGGAGCTGCAGCTACTACAGCACCGTCTCCAAATCCTAGACCTGTAGTAATGACGCCAGCACTAGCAGCGCAAATTACAGCAGCAAAAGTTACCTGAATATAAAAATATTTTGTTAATGCTATTAAAGATTTAGGTATTAAATTTCTACAACGTACTAAATGGATCCACTAATTTACGATAGTAGCAGTTGGACAAAAACTTACCAGTTTAAGCATTTTGCGAGATGTGTTGTTAGATATGCAGTAAGTCTGTATGATTGCAACAATTAATTTCTAGCGGTTATATACCAATAGAATCCCACTATAGTCACCCCAATCTGGTTTAATTATTTGAATGCAAATTTAATTTCTTCGCACATATGGATTGTCTGGCAACGAATTGTGGCCTATATTTCCACTATCAATTAGTATCAGTGACTGAAAGTAAAGGATCAAATTTAAAACACTATTTTTTAACATTTTAAAAATTTACGACATTGCCGTTGATGACGAATTATAGACTGTATAGCACTTTAAAATAATGACTTAAGAATATAAATCAAATTAAAATTGTTATTTAGAATTTGTTAAAGGTAACAACGTATTTACTTGACCGACATTATTAAATTTTTGTTGTCGTTCAGGTTATGTATTGCATATTTGAAATAAGTGTTTGTGGAACTGTTATCGATTAATAACACTAATTTATTTATTATGGACAGCAAAAAATCACTCCACAGTCTAGCACCCAAACTCAGTTTACGACTCTTTCTGTTTTGTTGTCAGTGACAATATCTTGCTGTTGTCCGAATAAAACATTAATTTCATTTCTCCATCGCATCTGAAAATTCCTTTGCTGCTTTTTGGTTTATATATTTTTGAAACATTTTTTTTTAATTTAATTCTTATAATAAATAATATTTCTTAAATTAATGTGTTTTTAAAACTTTTCTACAATTTTTTTGCGATTTTTTAGATAAAAGTAAACAATTTTTGACAGAACTTGCCCTGTCCCTAAAACACAATCCAGTAAGTCCAGTTTCTTAGATAAACTAAGTGTAAAAATTAATTCTACAGATTTTATTGATGTGATGACTGTTGTACGTATGTTAAAATAAATAATGCATAGTATGTTTCCATAATTTCGAAAAAATTAGATAAACCATTTTTTTATTTAATCAATGAAACTAACTGGTTTATTAATTATTTTTTTCACTAAGTAGCAGCCATGAAGCAAGCAAATGTCGACTTATTTAGAAGTATCAAAGTTTAACTTTTGCGACCAAGGTTCAAAAAGAAGACTGAGGTTATGTACGAAATACTTGATGTGATTATTTCTTAAAAAATTAATAAATGTGTGCTACTAATATTACATGAGTATAGGCATGGTAGTTGGTAGACGGTGGAAGATAAAATGATTAATTCAGCGACAAGTGGAAACGATTTTCTTTGTGTTGAAGATTAGATTAAGTTTGATTAAAAATTAAAACAAAATCATGTTGCGTCAAAAAAGTGAACGTTTATTTTTTCAATTTATTGTCATATGGTTTCTACTAGTGAAAAAAATAGTGTATTAACCACGGTTGTAAAGCCACTTCTAGACCTCGCGGTTTAGAGCCCTCGACGCTGCGCGTCTCGGGTTCTAATTTGCGCTCGGTCTAGAATGCTTGGCTTTGCAACCTTGGCTAATAACATACTATTTTAAACATTCTGTGTAAAAACAGTTAAAACATAAAATAATATTTACTTATTGAGAAATTGAATAATATTGTATGAGAGCAGTTATGATAGCCATTATCCACGACGATAGCGTTTGCGAAACGAGCCGTAGACGAGTGAAGCCGATCATAGTTTTTGCAAATATATATCATAAAATTATACTTTTTATACTACCAATTAAAAAAAAAACATGAACAATTTTAAAATGGAAAAATATAATCAAAGTACAAAACCATAATAAATAAACAAATGCCATGATAACATCACCTCTTGTCGATTGTGAGATTGGGGTAAACACGGGCGATTTGAAATAATCGATCATTGTTGTAGTAACCACCAAAGGTTTTTTCTTATTCCCTCAACGTACCTATGATAGATGAAATTCTCCTCCTATGATTGATAGGGAAATATAAATTCATATTTCACGACCTGTAAATATGGGTGTTATTATTTATTAATGAAAAAAACTGGTCGAACGTTATTTTAAGAGAACTTCCCTCACCCTTGATGTATAGTCCAACAAATCCCGCTTCCTTGAAAAATAAAAAAAAATGTTTTGTCATATGGTAACCTTTATAACTTAAAAACCAGTTGCGTAAATAACACCCCCATAGGGACAATATGAAATATATTTAACGCAGATAACTTACGGGAAATTGCATACTCAGTTTCTCTGTACATGCTTACCAACCTTTGACTGTTCATATTTATACCTCAAAAGAATTCGACTATTAACACGTTTAGATTACAAGCGTTAGAAAATCAAATTTGATTAAAAATTTTAAATCTAATTATTATGTGTTAACTTTATTTATCCTCTCTTGATGTTCCCACTACTATCAAGGTCTTAAACATACTAGAATAGTAGGCCATCAGGTCGCTCTATTTGATAGTAAAAATTTTAATAATTCAATCTAAAATATTATTTCAGATTTAATAGAAATGCAGCGGTATAAGTCAGCTTTTAATTTATACTACAAACCGTAAGTGTGTCGGTGTAGTTTAAAAATTGGTTCTCGTTTCCATATTGTTATGTTTAAATCATCACTCTCTATGAGACTATACCTATAATACAAAACCAGTAAACTCAAAAACTCTTACAAGGAAAATGGAAAAAAAAAATTGAAAATTATATATTGCGCTGTGGAGTAAACATTTTTTACCACATGACATCAACAAGTTTTCTTCCAAGGCATTAAGTACCTTAAGAATGATTAGTTAGCAAGAGTGATTTTCTGCCAAACAAGTAAAAAGAAAATACGTAGTGTATATAAGTACTCCACGTCCCGTATGAATTATCCTCCACTGGCGTGGCATATTATAAGTGAACTTAGGGATAAATTGAAGGCATTTTTTAAAATAATTGCAAAATTTTTTATCTCCATTGATTAATATTTTAAAATATCAGTGCAGTCAATTGTTTACGATCACTGTTATTATTGCAGACAAGGGTTGGTTAAAACCAGTGTTCATTTAAAATTTGATCTTAATATTTTTGCAATAATTTTTTTTATATAATTTCCTTTAAAATTTCCCTATGTGTAAATTGGCAAAACAAAAAAAAATATTTTGTATTAATGATACATTAATTAAGTACTTAGTTATTTTAATTTCAGTTCTTACCCCATATGTAATGGGAGTATTATTAAATGGAGTTTAATATTTGTTTGGGGAATCTGAACTTGACATGCCAACATAGATATCACAATACAATGTAAATATTAAAGTCTAGTTTAGCCAGGCCAGTTGATTTTTATTTATATTTTAACTTTAAATAATACTCCTAATATTTATTTTTACGAATTTCCGCGCTTATAAATCAGTTTATAAGATGAATGATCAATATTTAACATTATAATAAAACCTGCCGTTGATGATAATAGGGAAGTTGTCAATAAGGAACCTCTTATTAATAAATAAGTTTATTTTAATGTAAATTCGAAAACAATAAATAATTTTAAAATTTTGTTTTCAAAAAACGCTGCTCATCTCTTTGTTATTTGACGCCTAATGAAGAAGTCCGTGGCCAAGACCAATACCAACAGCTCCGAGAGCTACGGGGGCATGGGCAACAGCAACAGGACCAGCGTGAGCAACCGCTACGGGGGCAGCAACAGCATGAGTCGCTACTACAGCTGTGGGATGGAGACTAATTTGGTTGGAGTTTTGATAAGATGAAGCAAGAGGAGCATGAGCAACGGCTACAGCCGGGGCAGCTACAACTGCACCATGTCCCAATCCTCCGGCAATAATACCAGCGCTGGCAGCGCAGACCAACATGGCGAGAACGACCTGTAAAAAATGAAGTTTAAAATGTACACTTTCAAAGTTTTTAACTACTTACTAATTTGAACATTTTGTTTTAGGGTTTGTTGTTCGTTGTACGGTAGACTTCGAATGATTTGACTGTTAGTTTGGTTCCATTTTATATTCCGCTGCTGCCCCACTGGACCCCTTAATCTAGGGCAAGGGCTCCTTTCAACTATTTTAAAACTAAAAATAATATATAAGATTCTATCTGTACTTTAACAGCAGTTACGTATTTCTGTATCATTGTTACATGACTAAGAACTTGTTACATAAGAGTGAATAACCGATATTGAACTGGTCGGCAAAATAGTCATATGGGTATAAGATTGTAGAAAAGTAGAACTACAATAGCCCCCATTTCAGCTGTCCGAGAATTGTTCCAGTTTCAATGGTGTGCAAAATTCTCTTTCCTTTTTTAAAAAGGAATCATTTTTGTATGAGTACAATGTACAAGATATTTGCACTAACTCTTACATAATAATATATAGAGATGTTCTTTAAAAAATTTGTGACTGTGGGTGGGTAATTAATTAAATTGGCATGCGGCTTATAAAACCCTTTTTTATAAGAAACGCTCTTTCAACATGAAATAAAAAAGAATCTAACGCAATTTTATACATAGTTTCAACATAATACATTTTGGTCTCAATTGAGTAATTACACACAGAAATTTGTGTAATAGTATGATTATCAATGTTTAGGAAAAAAATAGTTCGAACGCTTTCATTGCATGTCTTTTACTACAAACTTGTTTGAGAATTTTTCGACAGAATATAACTGCAGTCGTTGCAACGCTTCGGTGAGTTTCTGTACAACGCAACGCTTACATTGACTCATTATTATTATTCACGTTTCATATTTTAGAAAGAGTCGTTTGAATACAATTTTTCAAGTCTAAATAAAAATAAAAGTACCTATATTATGTAAAAATAATTAAAAAAAAAGTATCAGTGGTACATTTTCAACGACATTGTAGACTGTAATTCTATTGCTACACATTAATGAAATGAACGTCGTAATTATGTGCATGTGCAATATGAAATAAAGCATTTTAGCTTATTAGGATTTTAACTTGAATGAATTGCAGTTAATATTAACGAGTTCTCATTTTGCGTTTCTGAGTCATGGCAATAATAGTGAGTAACCTCCACGATTAAGCGCACTTTTTTACTCGATTTTATTAACTTTAAATGTAGCAAGGACAACGTTTCGCTAAACCCATGATACTTTGTTAAAACTTTCAACGAAGAGATTGGATTTGCTATTTTATTGTGTTTATTATTATTATTCTTAACGTCATTATCATGATCATCGTTTTTAACATCAGTATCATCATCATTATTACCTGTTACAGTAAATAGTTAAAAAAACATTCCTAAAGAATACATTTTTTTTAAACTCACAGTTGCAAGCATTGTAAGAGCTTTAGAATGTAGATTAATCAACCAATATAATTTAATTTTTTTAGGAAAGAGGTAAAAAGTTTATTGAATCAATATTTTGGTTTTCAAAAACCTGAAAAAAAGTCATTCTTATGTATGTCTGATTTAATGGTTTCTTCACGTTTTGTTAAATTCAGGTTCGCAGCTTATGTATTGGAAAACTATTGAACAAATGATCTCTAAAATTGTGAAGCTCACTAGAATGAAATTTTAAATTGTGTATATTGAAGACGATATAAATCTGTTTGTACTTGCCTTTCAATAAACTTACAAATGGGAGTGACACGAAATTGTACTTATTGCTAGTACATACAATTACAACGCTGTTTTTTAAATTTCATCTAAAAAATTGGTTGAAGGTTATTTCTACAGAACTTCCCTGCCCCTCCGAAGAACAGTACAATAAATGTAGATTTTTCGAAAAATGATAAAATTTGATCTTCGAATTTTAATTTTACGTAAGCTAAGGGAGTAGAGAGTCCATCGGCCGACTCCCTACTTTTATGTTTTCTCACCCTTTCATGACCCCTACTGTACAAAGAAATAAGTCTCCCGTTTCCGTCTGTCTGTCCCTCTGTCCGTCTGTTTGCCGTTTGTCTGGATTTTCATTAGACAGATCTCCGAAAAAAATTTAGGTAATCATCCCCATCACCAATGCAATGACGTCATCTCCAAAATTTACCATAACATATTTTATTTAATTTTACAAAATAAGTTACTCTTGCACTTGTGTTGTATGTATTCCTGTTGAATTTTCACCGTAGACATCAAGGTTTTTAAAATGAAAATCAAAATTGTATTACAACATTTTGCAATTTAATCTTTAAACTGCAATTAAGACTATTATCGTAATGATGGTAAATCGTTAATCAAAAGTTATTCGTCTACACCTTCCAAAAAACTCATGACGTCATCTCAAAATTTTGTCAAATAAATGTGCAAGATATGATGAATACATACTTGTGATTTATCTTTCCATTATTCCATTAATAGTTTTTAAAATTGCTTATACAGATGTCTCAAACAAATTAATGAATGAGTCAATTTATTTTATTGATTAAATCAGAAATTGTAAAATCGAAGGCTTCGAATCTTGCAGGCGTTTTAAAAACTTATCGTAAGCATGTTAAATTTGTAATCAAATAGTTATTTATGCAACTACTGAGTAAAGTGTATATTTTTTTTACGAGAAGGAAAATTTGCCGCACGAGCCGAAGGCGAGTGCGCAAATCCGCCGAGTAAAAAAAGCCACTTTACTCACGAGTCGCATACAAAATTTTTTTCGCGTTCTTAACAAAACTCAACACCCACCAACTTAAAAACTTTTTATTTTGGAACATAGATATTAAATGTAGCCGTATTTGCCGTCTTGACAATTTTTTCGGGGGTGTACGAGAAATCTTCATCGCTGTCCGATTCCATTGTCCGAGCACACAAATTACCACAACACACCGAGAAAATTAATACAAACCACTTGTGTTGATGAATTATCCTATCAACGGCAGGCTTCTATGTTTTATTCCGTTAAAAAATGACATGCTACGACACTTTTTTTCACTCAAATGCGTGAAAAAATTAACCGCTATAACACTTTTTTCACGCATTTGAGTTCGATGAAATAAACGTATCCTTTATAAACAAAAATTAATAAAAAATGTTACATTTTTTTTAACGAACGTTAAAAAATGTATTTGTTTATCCCTTCCAAAAAATTCATGGTTCATCAAATCGAAAATATGGCAAAATATGATGAGTGATGAGTATTGATTAGTCTATACTTGTGATTTATCATTGAATTTATATTTTTTATAATTGCTTATCTCGTGTGACTCAAAAAAAATTAATAAATAAATCAGTTTATTTTATTGATCACTCCATTTTCCCGAAAATTTGGGGATACAATACTGTTACTATTAGTATTACATTGCACCTATCCAAATTGATATCCATGTCCTTACAAAAAATGTTAATGAAACATACCCGTAGCACGCATCTTTACATTTACTTTAACATTACATATTTTTATTTTAACTTCTAGGAGTTCTCATACAAAAAATGAAATTCCTAAAATCAAATTTTATAATTTTTCGAAAAGGTTGAGCATGTTTTATTGTACTTTAGGGAGAGGAAAGTTCTGTCGAAATAACCCTCGAACAATTTTTTTATGATAACCCTTGTAAGTTAAAATAAAAATGTGTATGTAATGTTAAAGTAAAGGCAAAGAAACGTGCTACTCGTTTGTTTCAAGTGAGTTTTTCCACTACGAAACTTTGTGATAACGTCATCTACATTTTTGTAAGGACACGTATATCAGTTTGGATACATGCAGTGTAACACTAATAATAACAGTACTGAAAGTGTTAAAATTCAATTTCTTCTTGTCACAGTTTAGTTACTAAAGTGAAAAAGGTATTAGTAACACCATCCATGGGTGAAGAGGTTTATAAGAAAAAAAATGGTAGAAGGTAATTTCGATAGAACTTCCCCCGCCCCCGAAGTTCAATAAAGCCCTCTTCTTTGAAAAATTATAACATGTGTTTTTTCAATTTTTGTTTTGTGATCAGTGATCACCTTAAAAATTAGTGGTGTAAATTTACATTCCCGCAGCCGATGCGCCGCGAAATATATTTCAAACAGATAACCAAAGGAAAAATTTGGTGTTTCACTGCCTCAGTTAAGAGGAAAAATGGAAAACTTATTCGGATTGAGAAAAGAATTAAGACAAATCATAATTAACTGTATAAGCACGGCAAAGTATATATCAGAAAGTACAGAAACACAATACCAGAGATCTTTCTTTGTTTTTAGGCGAAAGAAGTGCAATTGCATTTGATGCTGCTTGGAGAATGTTATAGATATTATGATGTAAATTTGATATGACAATCATAATGAAACGAAGGTGAACCACGAGGCGATGAACTCAGTGGTTTTATCACATAAGTTTCATTATGATGTCATATCAAACGTATATCATTCAATAGTTTCTCTGCGACGGCCTTAAATTGTGTTGAAAGAAAAGAAAATGCAAAGTTTTAATTTGCGATCTTTAAGATAAACAAACATGGTCGCTTTTTTCTGGGGTAGAGAAATGGAAAATGTGTAAACCAGATTGTGGGTATTAATATTAAAATTTGGAAAAAGCTCCGTGTAATTGCTTCTTTTTCGGGTCTGTCCAATCCTAGGGAGTACACAGGACATTGCTTCCGGCGATCATCGGCTTCACAGCTTGCAGACTATGGAGCTGATTTGAAAACTCAAAAAAATTGGTCGAAAGTTGTTTCGACAAAAATTCCCTCGCTCCTGGAGTACGATGAAATATATCCAGCATTTTCGAGTTGAGTTTTGTCTTTGCACAATTTTGTGATGATGTTATCAACATTTTTGCAAGGACAGTATATCAACACTGGTCCAGTGTAATACTAAAAATAATAGTATTGTATTCCAAAAATTTTCTGGGACAATGGAGTGAGCCGTTTCTGATTAAATCAATAAAATAAACTGACTCATTCATTAATTTTTTTGAGCCACCTGTATAACCAAATCTAAGAAAATAATATGAATGCAATGATAAAATACAAGTAAAAAGTCTTCATATTTTGCACATTCTGGGTAGAATTTATTCGGCAAAATTTTGAGATGACGTCATCAATTTTTGGGGGTTGATAAACAGATATATTTTGATCAAAAATTTACCATGCTTTT